TCAAGACATCTCTTAGGAGTGGTAGCCCCCCCCCCCCTCCCCGAACAACGTGTATCGCCCCCCCCCTCCCCCTTAACGAAATATAATTTATATAGAAATGTATACAAATTTCATGTGTGTCCCCCCCTCGGAGAACAAAGTGTGAAAGAAAAAGTGTGATTGGCCAATAACACTCCCGAGGTCCCAGTTTGCTCTCAAATTATTCTTTAAGTATTTCAATCTTGAAAATATTTGTTCACACAAGTATCTTGTTCCAAAATTTGAAAGGTACTTTGATGCAAACGTTTTAATATTAGGAACATCTTCCTTTTGCAAAAACTTATAAAAACCCACCCGCCCTTCTTTGAACGTGTCTCCAATGACCTCCAGCTGCAGTTCATCTTTGCAACTGGCCACATTTGTTTCAAATGGGTTCTGAAACAGTTGCACTTTTCTGCCTTTGAATACAAGTCAGAAAACCGCTACTGAAACTGCAGCTTGAAGTCTTTGATGATCTCGAAAGCAAATGACGTGAAGAACTCAGTGGTTTCTTCAGCCGTAAAAACCTTGCACTACTGAGAGTGCGTCAAGTTGTTGGCTTGTACTTGTTCCAAAAACATGACAAGTTTGGATCTGAAGGCCTTTAGGTGGGTGTATAAATCAGAAACTAAATTTCCATCTCTTGTAATTTTAGTTTCAGAAAATTTAAATGACTTGTCATGTTTGCAGCAAACGCCGATTTCTATACCCACTCTTCATCAGAGAGTAAGCATAGTTTCTTCCAGGCATCTCTTCGGGAGGGAAGGGGGGGGGGGGGGCAAACCCACCCCCCCCCCCCCGAATTTTTTTTACCGCCCCCCCCCCCCCCGAACGAAATGAAATTTATATAGAAAATATATACTTTTAACAGTGTCCGCCACCCCGAAGATAGTCTACTGCCCCCTCCCCCCCCCCCGAAAATTTCAAGTTCCCCCCCCCCCTCCCCCGGAGAAAAAAGTCTGGAACACTGACAGTAAGAGTACATCAGCTTGTGGTTTGCCTTTACTTTCAACTTAAATACTCAGCTCAGAAAAATTTAAAAATTTCTCGCAAATCAGCCATCTTACTGCTGTGAAATATGGTAAATCTTGCGATTCTGTATATCTATCTTTTAACATGTCTCTGAACTTTTTCTATTCTCTCCGGTAATAGTGCCATACATTCTATGTAGGGAAGACAGCTCTAGTGTTATATTTATGTCTTCATCCACACCTCTAATGAAAAAAAGCAGTTGAGAGGTGGAACAGCTGTCCAGCAGCTGATCCATTATAATTAAACGATTGCGAAACTTGCATGCATTTTTCGCTATTTGAGTCACGATGTTTTCACCAATGTCTGCAACGCGGCGGATAATAGTATTTGCACTCAAAGTTACATTTTCAAATTGTTTTGAATTTTGTGGGCGTAGTTTCTTAGCCACCTCTAAAAAACTTTTATTCCGTAGACAAAAAGATTGCCGCAGGCCGGATGATAGGACCTCGCGGGCCGCATGTGGCCCGCGGGCCGTAGTTTGGAGACCCCCTGGGTTAAAGCATTAGAGAATGTTACGTTCGGGTTGGTTTCAACTCAAGAGACGATTCGTGTTTACTTCAATTCCTATTATTCAGCCTCAAATATATACATTTTAGCGTAGCCCTCGTCCTACCCGCTCTCAACTAACCCCTGACAATCATTTACTCCAGCTTTTATACCGCATTCCACCTTGGGATAACAATACACAAACACACCGAGGTGAACAATATTCTAGAGTAAACTCAACTCACACACTCACTCTCCCCTAATTCTAGATTATTCTATTCTATCCTATTCAAATCTAACCTACAATTGACCCGTAACAGAGAAGTTAGGACGGAAATATTAAATTACTGTTGTGAAGGAGTTAAAGATAGAGTACTCTGTTACTCTGACGTCACGAGTTTTGAAGGGTAGAATCATTGTTTATTTCATTAATGAAGGTGTGTTTGATGGGAATCTTTTATTAGATGTCCTAGCTTGAGAGGAGAAGCCTGTTGATAGGGCGTTAGAGGAGAAGGAATTAGAAGTTAAGATTGCATTATATAAAGAGATAGAGTTAAGGAGAATGGAATTGCAGTTTGGTAAGAGTAGTGATAGTGTTAGGTCTGAACTAGAACCTTCATCATTGTCAGTTGTTCAAGTGATTGATAAGTTCGGTAAGCTAGTCCCTAAGTTTAGTCAGGTAGATCTTGTCGTATGTTTCAATTCTTTTGAGAATTTAGCCAGTTCGTGTGCGTGGCCCGAGAATTCTATCACCACTTTACTGAGCACAGTATTAACAGAGAAAGCTGCTAGTATATACAATGCTCTCTCTCGGGATGTCCAAACCAATCACGGGATAGTAAAGGCTGCTATCCAAAAACCAACGAGCTAACTCCAGAGGCTATCTGCAAAAGTTCCGGAAGCTCAGGAAGCAGCCTAGTCAGTCTTATATGGAGTATCTGTTTGAAAAAGAGAAAGTTTCCTCTAGGTGACTCCATTCAGAAGATGTCAGAGATTTTGAACAGCTCAAATCTCTGGTCCTAAGAGAAGAATTTCTCAATTCCCTCCCCAAAATAGTTCATCCACATATCCTAGATTCCAGGATATTTGACCTTAAGAAGGCTGCAGAGTCGGCAGGCACATTTACGCTGGTCCACAAGAAACCACAGGTGTCCAGCAATCGGCTCAACCCAGCACTCCCCCTCGTTGGCAACAGTCCTCCTGTTGGTCAATTTCAGAGGTCTCTCCAGTCTCTAGAGATACACAGCCAGTGAACTAGCAGTATACAGATACTGCAAGAAACCTGGCCACTTAAAAAATAACTGTTATCTGCGGCAACGAGACAACAGAAAGGTTGTGCGCACACAAGCGCATAATGCTTTCTCCCCTCAAGCAGCAAGCATGAACTGTCAACTGGTCGGGAAGCCTAACCAAAATATCACCAAGGCCTGTTGAATCCAATTCCTCTGTTGTAAGAACCATTTGACAAAGTCAACATGGATTGCGTCGGTCCTTTGCCAAAGTTAAAGCTCCCGTTTTCCTGAAGCGCTCCCTCTGAGAAACTTAAAAGCAAAGACAGTAGTCAAAGCTATGTCTAGATTCTTTACTACGTTCGGTCTACCCAGAATCATTAAAACCGACCAAGGTAGTAACTTTACCAGCCATCACTTCCAAGAAGCATTAGCAAAGCTAGACATCACTCATGTCACAAGCTCAGCTTACCAAAGTGCGCTTGAAAGATTTTACCAGAATCTGGAAACTATGCTGAGAAATTTCGTCAGAAGTAACGCCCAGTGGGATGAATCTGTTCCATGGGCTATCTTCGCCGCTAGAGACAGTGTTCAAGAATCTCTAGGGTACTCACCCTTTCAGCTTGTGTTCGGTCATTCTGTCCGTGGTCCTCTGAATCTTATCCAAGAGCGTTGGACAGGTGCTTGAACCCTTCCAGTGGAGAACTTCGGCGATTTTCACGTCCGTTTAAAAACCGTATGTGAATTAGCTCATAAGAACTTAAGAATTGCCCAAGAGGTAATGAAAGAATGCTATTACAAAATCACTCAAAAAGCGAACATTGTTTCCGAGAAAGTCCTTATTTTTACCCTAGACATTATATTCGAGGCCACGAAGAGTTTTTTTTTCTAGTAGTCTTTTTAGTTTCGTAAGTCATCAGTCTAAAAAAATATCTGATTTTTAATATTAGATGAAACAGCATCTGTGAGCATTACATTTAAATTATAAGCACAACAGTGTGTATACACTTTTTATGTAGGCCCGATAATTCACCAGACAAAAAACTCTGCACTAGATTCAAGAAGCTCACAGAATTGAATAAATATTTTGATGGCGTCTTCATGTTCAGTAACATATCGGACAGAAAAATTAAATTGATCCATTCTGCTAAAGTTGAATCTACAATCACAGCAAAATACCTAGATAGTTTAATTTTTTCTTTAAAAATTGGATTAATACAGACTTTATTAAGTTATTTTGATTAAGTATGTTGCATTTCTGTCACCGAAAATTAAATGATGTTTTAGCAAATCAACTTTCTTAAATAGTAGTTTAATACGTTTTAAATATATATATATATATATATATATATATATATATATATATATATATATATATATATGTATAAATACACCCTACCTGTCTTTTAGATGCAGGAACTGCAAGTTTTAAATAACAGTAAAGAGACCTGCATTTAAAAAAATATATAATGAGACATAGTACTTGTGATAACGTTTGCGTTTGTGTTTGCTTTGTGTTAGTGTTTGTTTCAGTTTGCGTTTGTGTTTACTTTTGTGTTTGCGTTTGAGTTCTGTTCTGTTTTCGAATTGGTCTATTTAAAAAGATTCACCGTGACGAAGCACGGCTATGCAGATGATATATGTATATTTCATTTCATCCTAGTGCTAGTACTAGTCTTAGTTCGTGCCGGTCCCTTCCGTTGTTCTAGCCAAGTTCTAAACTCCACTTTTACTATAACTTGAACCGAGCAATGCAATTTACACTAAAAATTGTGTTAATTTTCAGGAGTGGTGTTGGGGAAGATAGCATAGCGTTATTGATAGTGCTAAAATGTTATTTTCATTTAGAAATTGGGTGCATTTTCAGAATGTTTGTATGATTCATTGGTAGTTAACAAAAGGAAATGTCATAGACCAAGTAAACATCTGTCGGTTTAAGTGTTTTGCACGTTGTGATTTAGAGGTTAAAACATGTGAGTTTGGTAGTTGAATATATAATGTATTATACTTATAATTATATATTCAACTACCAAACTCACATGTTTTAACCTCTAACTCACATAATTTTTCTAAAACTTATATAATTAGGATAAAAGATTAGAAGTGTTCGAGCTGGAAATACTTTTGATTAAATTATATGGATTGAAATAAATGCATAGAATGGCATATTATAATGTGTAGTAGTGCTTAATTATCAATGTTTAACTTAATTAACTTAATGTTTAACTTAATTACTTACTTCCTACAAGAGTTGAAATAGCTGTCTAGTCCATTGTTGTAACGTTTCCTTCCTTCAGTTTGGGTGTCGTTTATTTCATCATCATTTAATGCTGGATATTAAAACACACAACTGTATTACAGTATTTATATATATTAATGTTTAAAACACATATTTAGATTTACTTTTATTTTTTTAAACGTTGGCTGAATACATATTACTAAACTGTTCGCAAAATTTAATAGTATAATTAAAATAATGATTTAAAAAGTCCAAATGATCTTCCCTAAACTTTATCAAATATAACACTATGGGGGAAGGCAGCTCAGGATATAGATATGATTTTTAATCCATTTGTAATTACTTACACTTTTTAATATAGAATAGAATTTCGTATAAAAAATTGCAAACAAAATGTGTATAATAGTGCGGTATGTTAGTATTTAGTATAAATTCAATTAAATTTTTTTTTAGAAATTGTAATAGCGTAAATTACTACTTCCGGTCAAAAGAAATTACACTAAATGTGACAGATGGTAGAGAATTAGATATTTTATTTACATGTGCAATTTCAGCTATCTATCACATATCTGAATCAGTGCTAAAGTAATAGGCTTTTAAAAAATTTAAGGTAGAATAAGTTCCACTTCCGGTTTTCGGAAAATCTCTATTTCAATTTTTGCACGATTACAATATTTTCTCTATAGCCTACTTCGTATACGAGAAAGTAAAAATGCAGCACAAACTCAAAGTTCAAACTATACTTCAAATATTAAGCAGCGATAACAACGTTTTAGTTTTATTGCATTCAAAAACCGTTCAGGTATCAGTAAGGAGTAACAGTTTGTTTCGACAACTTCTAATATATAGTAATTGTTTAGTTTTAGGATTATTTGAGGTGAAGTTATATATACATTTTCTAAGTTTGTGATAAGTTTATTGGATCTTAGCGCTAAGATGCAATTTTTCCTAAATATTTTATTGTTAACAGCTAACAAGCATTTTTTTATTGCATGTCTATGTTGGGCACTATTTTAATTAGCAATCATGCTGTTATTACACATGCTGATTTCTTTTTTTCGTGTGGAAAATTGCATGCTATCGGTATAGTTTTAAAGTTTGAAAATGCATTAACTTTAAACATTGTTGACACAGAATACTTGAAAATTTGCCCATTTATATTTGAAAACATTGAATATTACTTTGCTTTCCCATTAAAGTCAACGTTTAACACACACACACACACACGCTCTAATACAAACAAAACGCATTAGAAAACATATATTGTCTTTGCAATAAAGTGCATTGATCGTTATTTTTTAATTATCTAATACGATTTTTTTCCAAACAAAACAGAACACTGGCGTGGCTTAAAAACAATTAAAATATAAATTGTTAACAAAAACGACCATGTAAAAATAAATGCTAGTTACTCAAGATGGAAATTAGACTTAAAAATATTATTGGATAATTTGAGATACATTTCTATAAACATTTAGAATTTAAAAGTAATGTACACAAATAAATTAACAAATGAATCATCGGTTAACAAAGGAAACGATTTTTTTTACATGTATCATTACTTATTAATAAACAAAATACTCATTTTATAAATGTTGAAAGTACTTACTTTTTAAACAAATCGAACACAAACTCATGATCGTATTCGATAAACTTGAAGATGCAAAATATTTATTAGCACAATCTGAAGCTAGTTCTATTACATTCTTCTGACCTTCTTCAAAAGATTCACAAATTACAGTTGATAAATAGATTGTGCACACTTGAAAAAACACATGCTTATCTTCAACGTCATCTATTTTGTGCTTTGATGACAAAGTACATTTATTTAACATAACTAGGAAAATATTTTCAAGTAATATTTCCACAGTTGTGACATGTTCTTTAGACATTGCTAACAGTAAAGCGTCATTACCTTGAATGTTAACACAATTTACATCTGCTCCTCTTTTAATGAGCAGCTCAACAGTTTTATCATGCCCATTTTGTGATGCACACATTAAAGCATCAAAACCACCTGTTAAAATGCTATTAATATCTGCTCCGTTTTTGATAATTAAATCTGCTGTGGTGTCATGTCCGTTGAATGATGCAAGAAGAAGTGCATTATAGCCATCTGGTTCAATTCTATTTACATTCGCTCCATTTTTTAGAAGTAAGTCAACAGATTTATCATGTCCATTTTGTGATGCACACATTAACGCATCAAAACCATCTTTTGCAATACGATTAATTGCTGCTCCTCTGTTTAAAAGTAAATCTACAGTGGTGTCATATCCATGGAATGATGCGATCATAAGTGCATCATAGCCATCTGATTTCATTCTATTTACATTTGCTCCACTATTTAGAAGTAAGTCAACCGTTTTATCATGTCCATATAGTGACGCAATCATTAAAGCATCAAACTCATTTTTGTCAAAGTGATTAATATCTGCTCCGTGCTTTATTAGTATTTCAGCAGTTTTATCATGCCCGTTCTTTGATGCTCGCATTAATGCATCCCAACAACTGGAGTCAATAGCATTTACCTTTGCGCCGCTTTTTATAAGTAGTTCCGCTGTTTTAGCATGTCCATACATTGAAGTAATCATCAAAGCATTCTTACCATCAAATGATATTCGATTTATATCTGCTCCTCGTTTTATAAGTAGTCCTGCAGTTTTAATATGCCCATTAAACGATGCAAACATTAAAGCTGTCCAACTATCTGAATTAATGCGATTTACATCAGCTAAGCTTTAAATGAGTAATTTAGTAGTTTTATAATGACCTTTTTCTGATGCCATCATTAACGCATCTTTACCATCTGAAATAACGCAATTATAGTTCGCTCCGCTTTTTAACAGTAATTGCGCAGTTTTAAAATAACCTTTTTCTGATGCTATCATTAATGCATCCTTACCATCTGATTTAACACACTTTACATCAGCTCCGTTTTGTATAAGTAATTCCGCAGTTTTAACATGGCCCTTTTCTGATGAAAGCATTAGGGCATTCCAACCCTCAGATTTAATGCGGTTTACATCCACTCCGTTTTTTATTAGTAATTCAGCAGTTTTCACATTTCCAATGTATGATGCCATCATCAATGCATTTCCCCCATCAGACTTAACATGATTTATATCTGCTCCGAGTTTAATAAGTAATTCCGCTGTGTTAGCATGACCATCATTACATGCATATAATAATGCATTGAAACCACCTGAATTACAAAGGTTTACTTCTGCCCCATTGTTGATAAGTAATTCAACAATTTTGTCTTGTCCTTTAATTGATGCAAGCATTAATGCATTACTACCAATTGAATTAAATATGTTTATTTTCACTCCACATTTTATAAGCAATGCAGCAATGGTTTCTTGTCCAAAAAAAGATGCAGTCATTAATGCATTAATACCCTCTGAATTAATGTGGTTTACTCCTGTTCCACTTTGAATGAGCAATTCTGCAATGTCGATATTTTCATTGTTTAATGCAAACATTAATGCATTTAAACCTTCTGGATTAATACGATTGACATCTGCTCCGTTTTCTATAAGTATTTGAATGATTTTAATATGGCCAGCCATCGATGCAAGCATTAATGCATCTCTACCTAATGAACTAACAGTGCTTACATTAGCTCCGCGTTTTAAGAGTAATTTAACTATTTCATGGTGTCCTCTGACGGATGCATGCATTAATGCATCACAGTTGCTCTCATCAATGTGATTTATTTCTATTCCACTTTTTATTAGTAGCTTAGCTATAGTATAATGACCATCGGCAGAAGCACACATTAATGCATCCATACCGTTTATACTAGTAATATTTACGTCTGCTCCGCTGGCGATAAGTGTTTTAACAGTTTTATAATGTCCCTTTTGAGATGCAACCATCAATGCATTCATGCCATCTGCATTATTGCGTTTTACATCGGCCCCGTATGCGATAAGAATTTTAGCAGTGTTATAATACCCAGCTAAGGATGCAATCATTAAAGCATCCACACCATTTGAAGTTATGCTATTTACACCAGATCCCGCTTTGATAAGTAATTCAACAGTTTTGGCATGTCCTTTATTTGACGCAGCCATCAATCCATTTCTATCATCTGCATTACGGCGATTTATATCTGCACCGTTGTTTATAAGTAGTTCAGTGGTTTTATAATGTCCACTTAGTGATGCCATCATTAAACAATCCCAACCATCTGCCTCAACCCGATTTATATCTGCTCCACTGTTTATAAGTAGTTCAACAGTTGTATCATGTCCATTAAATGATGCAAGCATTAAACAATCCCATCCACCTGTTGTAGTGCGATTAACATCAGATCCGTTTCTCAAAAGTATCTTAGCAATTTCATTATGCCCAGCTTCTGATGCATACATTAATGCATCCTTATTAAGTGGACTAATGATATTTACATCTGCTCCACATTTAATCAATAACTCGACAGTGTTGATATATCCAAACCATGAAGCATACATTAAAGCATTGTTTCCTTCAGAGCTTTTCCGATTAATATCCGCTCCACTTTTCAGAAGTACGTCAACAGTTTTATCATGACCGTATTCTGATGCAAGTATAAGTGCATCACGACCATTTATTAAAGTGCGATCTACATCTGATCCTCTTTTTAATAGTATTTTTACAGTTTTATCTTCTCCATTTTCTGCTGCAGTCATTAATGCATCATAACCAAGTGAATTAATGCGATTCAAATCTGATCCGCATTTGATCAATAATTCAACGGTTTTTACATGTCCATAATATGATGCACTTATAAATGCATCATTTCCATCAGAGTTTATCCGATTAATATCAGCTCCGTTTTTAAGTAGCAAGTCAACAATTTTAGTATGTCCATTTTTGGATGCATGCATAAGTGCAGTCCGACTCTCTGAATCTTTACGATCCACATCTGCTCCGCTATTAATAATCAGTTTAGCAGTTTTATAATGTCCACTAAGAGATGCAATCATTAATGTGTCCACCTCTTCTGAATAAATGTGATTTACATCTGCTCCGTTTCTTATAAGTATTTTAGCAGTCCTAAAATGTCCATTAAAAGATGCCATCATCAGTGCATTTAATTCGTCCGAATTAATTTTATTCACATCTGCACCACTTTTTATAAGTAATTCAGCAGTTATAACATGCCCATTAACGGACGCTAGCATCAATGCATTCCAACCGTTTAATTTACAACCATTTACGTCTGTCCCCGCTTTTATGAGCAATTCAACTGTTTCATAATGTCCATTAACAGATGCAAACAGTAGGGATTCCATTAGGTCGGAATTAGTCTGAGTTATGTCTACTCCGCTTTTGAGATATAGCTCTACATTTCTACCTTCACCATGTAAAAAAGCAAGCCTTGATGTAATAAAGCTTATCGCCATTGTGTTGTTATCATCTATTGCTATTTTTTCTATAATTGGTTGTATCTTTTCATATTAATGATTTAAGGCGTTATATTCGTAATTTTCCTACCACTAAGTAAGCCCAATTAACATATTTTCCTTTAGAAATTAAATAGTTTTGCTTGTAACTTCCAATTGTTGTGACATTGCATTTGAAAAGAGACAATGTCTACATTGTATTTTAAAATTGAAATTGAAACTTTAGGTGTATTTTCACAAAAAAGCTTTCATTTTTTATTTTGTTTTTGTTGTGGTATCCATGGCGCGGGTGGCAGAGTATCAGGTCTGCTACTCCAAAAGTATCGAGTTCGAAACTGAGCTTGAGTCTCTGACACGTCCCTAAGTTCACTGAGCTGGTATGGTTACCTGACGATCGATAATGAAATAATCGCGGCTGTGCATAATTTAAACTACACTATCGCCCATGTGTGACGATTTCATTAAATATATTAAATGTACTTCGTCTTCTTCTTGTGTCTTGTTCAGAGACAGGAAATGTTTATGATGATTCTTGATTTGCAATGATATTCGTCTATTTTAATTGCATTTTAGCTAATTAGAATGAAAAATAAATGCGTACATACATACGATTAATTATTTATAATTTTGAAAGAGATAGTTGGATTCAAAAGCAGATTTTATCAATTGTCATAGATTGAGTTACTTCTCAGAGACACTATGCAATAACATAGTGAGTAAACTATAAAGTCTAATTTCAATTCAAAGTATATTATTCATGCGCATTCATACTTTAATAATCATATGCAGCTTATAATTTACTTAACTTTTATTATCTGTTTGTTTCACATTAACACTTGAGCGTTTTTTCTTGTAATATTGAAGCTTCTTCCCTCTAACAGGAAAAAGTATAACGAGTCAGCATAATACGCGCCATGTGTCCCGTTGACCACGACTAGTCTTTTTTCTTCCCGCCATTTCTATCTAAGCTTTTGTCCCCTCAAGAATAACCAACAGATTCTTAATTTTGTAGTTTTCTCTTTAAGATGGGTTAATATATTCAGCTAACGAGCATCAACAAAGTCTGTGTTCAGATTTCGGATTTTTAGTGTTTGTAACCAGTCTTGTTTCAAGGCCAAGCTGTTTCCATTAATTTGATCTGAAAGTTTAGAAATGTAATATGTATACCACTAATTGTCAAAGTGTAATTAATTAGTAGCTTTTAAAAGCCTATATTGATGACCTAAAAGAGATGGCCAGCCACAACAATATAGCCAGCCACAAGGATATGGCCAGCCACCATGAAAGCCAGTCAGCATGATTTGGATAGACTAACTCCAAAATCTCGAGTCCGGATCTTGGTGTTGACTTTAAGTCTGCAGAACGTCATAGAGCCCCTACATTTGTATTGGGTATCTGACTCACATTAGGGAAAGTAAAGACGGCTATGCATAGTGCTTACCACACCATCTCTTATATGCCGAGATAAAAAAAAAACATGTACTCTTCTTCATTAATTAAACACTATTTTAAGCTTACACTATTCTGTGGGACAGATGTAAGAAGATATAAATATGGTATACAATTCAAATTAAGTCGAGCTCATTTTTTTAATCTTCTAAATCAGGGTTCTCCAAACTACGGCCTGCAGGCCGAATGTGGCCCGCGAGGCCCTCTCAATCGGCCCTTGGAGATATTTTTGTCTATGGGAAGAAAAAAATACAAATTTACGTTTTTCCTGCCTCTTAAGTGGATGCTATGTTTTTACCGAAATAAAATCGAGGTTCGCCGCAGTGTTCTATGTTATCAAACAGATCACCGCATTGCAAAACATTATTACTAAAAGTTTGTTGGACTTTGCCCAGAAATCTCAACACAATTTCAAAAAGTAGCTTTAGGTGCAAATACCATTTCCCGTCGTGGTGACACATGGTTGAATCATTGTGACTCAAACAAGGAAAAATGCAAGCATGTTTCGCCATTTTTAAATTGCAATGGATTAGTCGCTGGACATCTGTTCCGCCTCACAACTGCTTGTGTTAATTAGAGGTGTGGAAGAAGACATGAACATATCACAAGTGATGGTTTACTTACATAACATAAATAGCACTGTTACCGAAGATGATATATTCAATGAGATAGAAAAAAAAACGCTGATTAGAAATTAAACTTGACTAACATCAGTTGCTGAAGATGGAGGAAAGAATATTATCGGTATAAAGAAAGGTTTGGTTGGAAAAGCGAACGCGATGTGTATTGCAAAAAAAAAAAAACTTTTTACAACCAATATTCTTGCACTGTATTATTCACCTTCAAGCTCTGTGTGCTAAATATGTTGACACTAGCAGTGTACTGAATCATGTGATAAAGATGGTGCATTTTATAACGTCACATTAATTTGACCATAGAGAGTGTAGTGACATGTTGAGAGATACAGACACATACTCGCAAGATTTATTATATCAGCAGAAAGATTGAGTAGAGTATTTTAGGAAAGGAAATAGGTGACTTTCTGGAATTAAAGACAAACCACAGCCGTTAATGTCTGATGAACAGTGGGTATGGAAAGTGCTTTTACCGTAGACAAAACTAGTCATTTAAATCTAGTTTCTGAACTATGCACCCACCAAAAGCATTAAGATCCAAACTTGTCATGTTTTTGGAACAAATACAGACAAACAATTTGATGCACTTTCAGAAGTGCAAGTTCTTTATTTGCATGCGAGATCATCAAAGACCACCAGCTGCTGTTTTAGCCATTGGATTCTAACGCAGAAGAAGTGAGATTATTTCAAAACCCATTTGAAAAAAAATGTAACTGATTGTCCAGATGAAGTGCAGCTGGGGGTCATTGAGTGGCGTGAAAATTGAGTTTCAAGCAAATGACCTCTTGAGGCAAGTTGAGGCAAGTTGACTGAAGGACTGGTGGTTTGGTTTTTTTTATAAGTGTTTGCATCAAAGAAACTCTGTCCCCCGAACTGATAGTTGATAGTTAATGAGGTCCTCGGGCTAAAAGGTTTGGTGAACCCTGTTCTAAATGAAGCAACAAGTGATAACTGAAATAACAATTTTATGCACACGGATTAGTAATAGAGCTTCTATTTTTAATTCACTTTAATATTCTGGTTGTATACTAAACGATAATTGTAAGTCTGCTAGAAAAATGCTATTTTCATGCATAGACAATGAATTGATGAATATAACCCAAATACAGAGAGAGCTTAGATCAATGACTTGATGATTAACTGGTATTTCACAACATAGAAACCACGTAAAAAATCATTTTAAAAAGATTAATGAGATATATTTGCCCCCAAAATAGACTTGCCCCTTTCAAAAAACTGTAAGTCTCTTTATAAATTAATCGCTAGGACAACGTATATATGATTGGGATTTTAATGAATGTGTATTTTAGATTTAACAATTTATAATAACATTTATAACATAGTTTTTGTGTACTTTTATCTTCGAATTTCTTACAAAACTAAAATATATTATTTACATTCAAATAAAGGCGTATCAATTTCCATTAGTAACTAATAGTTTTCGAGCTTTATCACGATAATCCAACATTTCTATGAACCCAAGGGATGTGATGAAAAATTCAATTTGATTATTACAAATCAAGATATCTATCTATCTATCTATATATATAAAGCAATGTATGTTTGTGTGTGTGTCTGTTTGTTTGTTTTTTTTGTCTTTTATGCATTACTACACCTCTTATCAATGTTATACCAATATATCAAACATTCTAATTTGGGTTAAAATAAAATATTATTATCTATGAATAAGAAATTATGTACTTTCTGCTCGCGCATGATACTACGCTCTATTAGGTAGGGTACCTTTTCTTGAAAATAAACTCCTTAGTTATTATACTTCTGTCGTTTCTAAGAAAAGTTTCGTCTTATTACATTTCATAAATGCAATTGTAATGATACATACATTTTTACATTATCAATTAAAGTGAATTATGTACAGTAAGCATAGGTATGTATAAGAAAAAAAATTAATTTTTTAACAAGAACTTTGAAAATTACATTTAAGTTAATGTTAAAGGCGTCTATGATTTATATACAACAGTTGTATACAAATACAATCTGACTTGAATCTTCAAATGGACAAAGTCAACACTTTAGCATCAATGTCATTCAAAGACAAAATTGACATGCTCATATACCTTTTAAAAGTATCTGTCTACAGCCTGGATTATCAATGTACTACTAATATATTATATATACAATAAATTATAATACATTAGTACTGTAAAAATCTACTTGCTTATAATTACTACCATAGTAATCAAGCATTAACCAGAATATTACATAAATTATTATGACTAGTCAGTGCTTTTGTCTATAACAAACCGATAAATAGTACTTTATTTAAAAATGGAAATTATGAATTAAATACAATGTACTTACAGTAAAACATATATACTGTGCAACTAATGAAGATCAATAGTGAAATGAAAGCATTTCAAAAGTTTACAGACAAGAGTAGGCTCTACGTCAGGCTGAAATTTGAATATGAAAAGATGCGCAACTGACACATAAGGGGCTGTATCGATTTTCAACGGATCTCTTTATGTACATTACGGCTTGCTGCTATTTAAATACCGGATTTTATGTATTTATTCTCTCTTCGAAATTAGCTTAAAGAAGAATAAACCTAAATATATATCAGCATTGAGGAATGTGTATTTAAATATTCTGAATCTAGTATTGTAGTAGTCTGTGAAAGCAATAACAAATATATTGATTATAGTTTTCTAGAAAAGTTTGCGAAAGTGTAGGCTATATTTTAAGGTTAAGAAATAGTGTACGTTTAAATTTGCATTGACAATTTTTCGTACAATTAACTTAGAGTTTGGATTAGGCCATGTATTGTAAAAGAGTTTAAGCTTAGTTGGGGATATCAAATCTAAAGTGTAAATAACTGCACGGTAATAATTTAAACCAATCAGTGAAAGAATGTAATTCTACCGGAAGGAAAGTCTGAGCCACTTCTCTACCAAGAGTAAAGTAAATGTATATTAACTTTGTAGTCGATTGTAACATGAACTACGTTGCAGTAGATAGTGCAGTGACAGTAATAATTAAACTTAATATAATCAAGCTGAGGGTCTGATGACAACGCTACAACTCAATGTGCGAAGTTTACAGCCTTAAAGTATTAATAGCCTGATCCGATGACCACTTGACTCTGGCAAGGGTTTAAGGACGGTGACTAGACCTAAATATCACGACTACGGTTCAACTCAATGACGGAAGTTTACAGCCTGTAATAAAATTAAACTATAAGTTACTTAAAAAAAAACAAAGTTAACTGCTAGATGAATATTTAATTTATAAATGCTTTTGAATTTGTTTACGTATTAATCAATACATTAAAACAAGCTCGTGCGAATACACTGTCAGAGGAGCAGAGGCGTCACGAGGAGGGGGGGGGGGGGGGAATTTCGGTCTGCACCGGCTGACACCATTTAGGGGGGAGGAGGGGTGACACAAAGACGAAAAACTGCAAAATATATAGAAGAAAAATGCTTTTTGCCAGTTCAGTTAATGAATAATTAGAGTTAAAAAGTCTTATGAGTACACATCGACCATCGCGACTCAATATACACACTCACACTTTTTTAGTTTGGTGTGTGTAGGGGGGTGACACCATGAATTGCCGTACCGGGTGACATCCGACCTAGCGACGCCACGGAAGAGGAGTAAGCGGAAGAGTAAGAGAGTGAGTCAGGTTTCCCTCCCCCTTTAGTACATCTGTACTTTCTGTACCACGTGACTAGTCCATCCATCCAGACTGGTCAAAGTAATAGGTGTCCACGTGTTGGTCTAGCAGATAATTTTACTATTCAATGTCCACCGATCACTGCGCAGAGAGAGAGAGAGTGTGTGTGTGTGTGTGTTTAGAGGGGGGGGCGATTAAGAATAAGAATACAAGTAACTGCGGGGGTCTTAGGCAAAAACAAAATGGCGGTAAATGTCATAAGTCTCCATAATAAACTGCATTATTCCATTTAAATTGAACCTTAAAAAAGTAGTTTAACGTAGTTTTTATATCCTATGTATCGATTCGCTACATAACAAAGTAATACACTGTTTTCTAACTCTTGTTTCCTTGCAACAAATGACAAGGTTAATAATTGTCATCGGCTTCCAATTTGTTTTGAAATATATATATATATATATATATATATATATATATATATATATATATATATATATATATATATATATATATATACAGACAAATCTAAAAATCTGTGTCCGCCATGCATTTACAGGATATTCTATAGCATGCGATTTAGCCCGAGTACTATGTCCTCGTTACTATATATATATTATTGATTTATATACGCAGTGACTAGCATATATATTGATCCGTTAAGTGTGTGCTGTTTGTACAGTTATAGTACGGTACATCGTTTGTTTTTTAAATCAATATGTGATTCACATGGTGCTTGCATTGATTTGATTTATAGGCCTATAAATTGCCACTTATTTATTGCTTAAACTCGTAGGTTTTGCAAAAGATAATATAAGGTAGTTTGAAGTATGCGTTTGGTTTTTACGTGCCCTTGCTTATTAGATATCTAATTTTAGCTGTCTAGCGGGGTTATATAAATGGTGGTAATTGATTTTGGGGGAGTGCGGTAATCCCGGGGAAATATTTGTGGACTATTGAAGGGGAGGGGGAGGTAATGCACTGCTCCGTATAAGCTTGTAATGTATAATAAGCGTTTCGGCTAGGGAAGATATTTACTTCTCGGAGGTGGTAGGGTCTGGTTAGTGTTGTAAAATATGTAATAATGGGGCTAACTGTCTAAAGTTGAAAAAACTGACCAGAAATACTTTTCGTTTCAAAGGAAGTTTAAAAAATAATGGAATGTTGAAAAAAAAATCATATCCATTTCCTTAAACGATATTCATTTTGATTTAGAGTCTAGTTTGTATTTTACTAGCATTCTCTTCCTGCACATTCTGCGATCTCATAAGCCGGCTGACGAAATAACTAAAGTGAATTTTGATCAATGCTTTACTAACAGTGTAATTTTAGACGCGCGATGTCGTTTTCTAAAACTGAGTTATCTAAATGTAAACTAAGCAAACGCTATATTTCTTGAATAATAGATGTTGTGGCTCAGGTCTGTCCACACTACCGCCCACACGTCCGAATGTATCTTGTATGAAATCCTTAAGGGTACGTTCATCACCCTTATAATACTGAAGTAGAAATCCTCTGTTTGATGACCAGTGGCGTCGCGGGATACTGTAAAGGTTTTACTAACATCAAGATTTTTTTACAGGTTAAAATAGTTCAAAAATGTATTTTAATCATACAATTGTCATGTATTTTATGTGCTCTTTGTTCCAGCTTAGCCGGTTCTTTTTGTCGTTGTAAAGATTCTTTGTAAAGATGATGAACGTCGGATTAATCTACAGAGATTATCTTTGAAGAAATAATTTCTTGTTTGTACAGAGCTTTTGAATTTCTTTAATAGTTTTGATGTATTTTTCAGTTTTCTCGGTTACTTATAAGTAAAAGCTATTAGAATAAGAATGGAGAGAATGGACAACAAAATCAAATGCTGATAAAACTATTATGACGACTCCCTACAACAATGAATCTTAGAGAACGTAAATTTTCAGCTCTTAAACAAACTAATTTAGAGGGTGGAATAATAGCAGTATCAATAAATGGATATGAAAATACATTCAATTTGCAAAAACAAAATGTAGATGATACATCTAACTCGAAAGCAGAAGAATATGTTGCCTTAATGTATGCTTGTAAAAATGGTCACCACAAAGTTGTAGAATCTATACTAAAAAATGGGATGAAATTAGAGCGTAGAAATAAATTTGGTTTGGACGCGTTAAACAAAGCATCCCGAAATGGACATGAGAAAGTGGTTGAGTGCTTGATTAAAAATAAAGCTTCTGTCAATCGAGTCAACCAATTCGGGACTGATGCATTGATGACCGCGGCTACCAACGGACATGTACCAGTGGTCAACATTCTACTGAAATGTGGAGCAAGTTTAAATCGTGTAGATCACCGTGGGTATGATGCACTGATGTATGCCTCTATGTTTGGTCACAGTACAGTGGTAGAGTTACTAGTACAACGCGGTGGGCGGGTAGACCGTGTGAATAAAAGGAATGGGTTCGATGCTCTTATGTGTGCTGCCCGTAAAGGTCACTATCAGGTGGTGAAGAGTTTACTCAAATGTGGAGCAAAGTTAGATTCCGCAAACAGGTATGGAATGGATGCGTTGAAATTCGCTGCTTATCAAGGATATAATAAAATAGTAAAATTGTTACTTAACATTTGTGAACAAAATAAGGAAGAACTCTTAGATCGTGTGAACGTGTATGGAGAAGATGCATTGATGTGTGCATCTCAATACGGTAACCATACAGTTGTACAATGCTTACTTAATAACGGAGCAAAGTTAGATCGTGTAGCCAAGAATGGTAAGGATGCATTAAGCTACGCATCTTATGGAGGAAACCTTAAGGTGGTTAAATTGCTAGTAAATAGTGGTGCTAATGTAAACAACAAAAATCTGTATGGGACCGATACTTTGATGTATGCATGTGAAAATGGCAATTACAAAGTAGTGCATCATCTACTTACAGCTGGAGCAAGGTTAGACTGTTTAGATTGGTATAAAATGGATGCATTAAGAGTTGCCTCTATGAAAGGACATCATAAAGTAGTAAAATTATTAGTGAAACATGGAGCCAATTTACACAGTGTAAATATACATGGGCGTAATGCCCTAATGATTTCATCTTTAAACGGACAGTTTGAAGTAGTAGACGTCTTATTAGAATCAGGAGCGACAGTTGATGCTACTGACGAAAACGGCAGTGATGCATTAATGTATGCATCTGAGCATGGACACGATGAAATTGTAAAGTTGTTACTTGAAAAAGGAGCATTTATAGACAAGGTTGACATGTATGGCTATGATGCATTGATGTATGCAGCTTTACATGGACATGAGAAGATAGTTGAGATTTTAATTCAAAACAAAGCAGTTGTAAATCGTATTGATAATACTGGATTTAATGCATTGATGCATGCATCTAAACGTGGACACATTAAAGTCGTTAACATTCTAATTAATCAAGGAGCTAGCTTAAATCGTGTAGACGAATGCGGTTATGACGCATTGCGATTAGCTGTTACAAATGGACATGATAATATAGCAACATGTTTAGTAAAAAGTGGAGCTAAAGTCAATCGCAAATATACCAACCGATACAGTGCACTAATAAATGCGGCATTAAAAGGAAACATGTCGTTTGTAGAACTACTGATTCAAAACGGAGCAGATGTGAATTATAAAAACCTTGAAGGCTGTGATGCTTTAATGTGTGCTTGCCAAAATGGTCATGATGAGATAGTTGTATTTCTACACATGTGCGGAGCTGTTCTAAGTCGTGTTGACAAATTTGGATGCGATGCTTTAATGATCGCATCGCAGAATGGGCACGATAAAGTGGTCAACTATTTACTACACAATGGGATTTCTCACGATCGAATCGATGAATCTGGGTTTGATGCTTTGATGTCAGCAGCTTTGAATGGACATGAGAAAGTTGTAGATATACTTCTCAATAGTGGGGCAAGTACAGAGAATGTAAATCACATAGGATTCGATGCTTTAATGTGTGCCTCAATAAAAGGGCATTACAATATTGTAGAATCTTTACACAAAGTGGGAGCACAATTAAACCGTGTCGATTCTTATGGTCGTAATGCATTACTGGGTGCATGTCTAGCAGGATATCACCAAGTTGTTGAATTTCTACTTAAATTGGGAGCAAATTTAAATTGTGTGAATCAAAACGGAACTGATGCATTGACTCACGCAGCTCAATGTGGACATCACAAAGTTGTAGAATGTTTGATACATTGGGGAGCATCATTAGCCAATGTAAACAAGTTTGGAAGCGATGCTTTGATGTCGGCTTCATACTATGGGCACCAAAACGTAGTGCAGATTCTACTCAACAGTGGGGCGGGGTTAGAACAAGTAACACCAGCTGGATACGATGCTCTTATGATTGCATCACAAAGTGGCCAAGATAAAGTGGTCAAAATGTTACTCTTAGCTGGAGCAAATTTATATCGAACATCCAAAGACGATATGGACGCCTTACAGATTGCATGTAACCGGGGACATGCTAAAGTGGCAGAATATTTAATTAGATATGGTGCAGATTTAGATCGAATAAATAAACATGGATATGATGCACTTAGATTTGCATCTGAAAATGGACACGAAAATGTGGCCAAATATTTAATAAGATATGTAGCAGATTTGAATCGCGAGTACAACAATGGATTAAATGCTATAATGAGCGCTTCTGTGAAAGAACATGCTCGAATTGTTGAACTGTTGATTTTATACGGCGCAGTTAAAAATTACCATAACGCCGAAGGTCTTGATGCAGTAATGTGTGCATCTCAATATGGCCACGTTGCAGTAGTCGAATGTTTGCACAATCACGGTGCTAAGTTAGACCGTTTTGACAACATGGGATTCGATGCTTTAATGTATGCATCAACAAAAGGATATACACAAATAGTAGAAACTTTACTAAATTATGGTGTTCACTTAAACTGTGAGAACAAAAACATCTGCAGTTCACATCAGAAATTACCACTTAATGAAGATGCAACAAGCTATACTTCCGACGATCATGATGCATTAGTGCTAGCTTCTTTTAAAGGCCACTACGAAGTTGTAGAATGTTTACTAAAAAATGGAGCTAATTTAAATCATGTATACTTCGATGGTTTTGATGCATTAATGATTGCAAGTAATTTAGGCCATGTAAAAGTTGTGGAACTTCTTCTAAAATATGGGGCACGTATTGATCGTTTAAATGAATTCGGTTTGGATGTGTTGACAATAGCTTCAGCAAATGATCATGATGAAATAGTAGAATTATTACTGAAACGTGGATATGTTTCAAATCGTGCAAAAATAATGGCTTGAAAGCTGTAGATACGACACATCTAGTTAGGCATGATGAGATAGACGGCATGCAAAGAAATGGACTATTGTTTGAAAATGTTTTAAATGATGGTTGTGAGAAGTCTTTACTTCAACCCAGACAAGGTGACGAAAGCCTTAACACAAAAGAGAAACTTGATAATTTATTGGACTTAACAATTCATAGAGAACCCAATAAAACGCAATCAACTTTTTTCACAATATTGCAAGCTATTTGTTTATCTTTTGAAAATGGAAACTTAAAAATAATTAAAATATTATATAATGCTGTTAATGACATTGAGGATATTTCGGATCCAAAATTGAAAATCCTGGACATTTGCAGATGTTTTGAAAAATGTAAGTATTTTATATATTTAATGTACAAAAATGTGTGGGTGTTTGTAACAAAAACAGAATAATGGTCAACAAACAGCTAATATACAATCGAGTTGTATGCATGAAATCCATTAAAACAAATGGAAATACGAAATATATAACAACATATATTAGACAATGAGAGGCAATTTTTAATTGGAACATCGTAGGCTACACAAAAATTGAACAGCTTTATATACGTTTATGTAATTCTGAACTAGTTAGCCGATTTTAGTTAACCGATAGCACAACATTCAGACATGCCTTATGTGGTTAAATTATAAATAGCTTTGATAGAGCTACGAATAGACTTGCGTACTATCTTCCTCCTACTGTTAAGATAGCTCAGGATAGAATGCGCCACTTTTGCTAACGTTATTGTTGAAACCATGATGTGTGCACACAAAAAAATATGCCTGCAGGCTACTGTTTAAATTTATATCTACGAGGCACAACCTCGTTTTATTGTCTAAGGTATATATTGGACTAGATATTAAGAAGAAAAAGAAACATTATTTGCCATATATATATATTTTATTAGTGCTCTCACATGATGGATCAATACAAACTCTGGATGAAACCAACAACTTCTTGAAACAAAATTCTTTTACATTCCAAAACATGCAAAGGTAAATAAATGAAACGATGTAGATGCAATATGAAATTCACATATGAGTTGTTATATTTTTATCTTTAGCAATCCTCTTTATTATACGTGTACTATGAACTATAGCTTTACAAGTAAATTTGATGCTACTATCAACTTAATCCTTGAAATTGTGATTTTTTAGCTATAAAATGTTTATAAAAACCGTAATAAAAATATATTAAATGTCATTTTTTAAATTAGTTTGTGAGGAAAAGATTGCTACTAAAAATGCGTACGTTATCGGGCTTGTTGTCAACGGAATGTCATAATACAGAAAGTGGTTTATATGGCATATTTTAATGGTGTATACATTATGCGATATAGTGTGCGTAAACCTAATTGGAAAGGAATGCAGAGTGAAATTTAAAAAAAAATATCATTTCAGTTATTTATGATTAAAATTTAAAATTTAATTTGAAAGTATTATTTAATTTTAGACTTAGATGTTAATGTTAACGTGAATGTTAAGTCAGATTTAGACTTAGAAGTTGAAGTTGATATGGCATTGGCATTGACATATGTATAGGTATTGTCATTGGCGTTCCCATTACCTTTAACATTAGGATTTATATTGTTTAAGGTTAGGGTTTGTGCAGGGGTTAGGCTAGGATAAGAAAATTGATTTAAGGTTATGAAAAGAGATAACTTCTTATATTGTGTAATGGATATTGTTAGGGTTAACAAAAGGTTTTAGAATGAATAGAGCATCAGTGTCAAGGAGAAGGATCTTGGAAGTTTTATGGATATATAACTAGAAGTAGATGTAGTTTTGTATAGAGATCGATTACAGTTAGAAAATTTAGAAAATTTACTTAGCATGTACAAATGAAAATAAGTTATTTTTATGTTTGCTTTTTTTCACCTAGGTCAATTAGTTGTTATGTGATTCTTACACTGCAAACGCGTAATAAACAAGTAAGTGTGGCATTAATTTAATGAACCTAAATCGCTCTTCTTTAAGCATGTGAATTATTTTTAGGTAACAAAAATAGACAATACGTAGACGCTAAAATGCATCTGCTTTTCTACTTTTAAAATCTTAAAATCTTAATATCTTTGTGTTGTTAAAGCTTTATTTTCGCAATATTTGGTTTACAAAATGCATACATTGGTCTAGTCGGCAAAGCTCAAGGTTGTTAAGCCGAAAAGTCTCGAGGACGAACCCTCGGGCATATGAGGCTCGACCGTTGGGTCAACAACCTTTCTAGGAGAGACAACTCCTAAATCAAGCAACTGCCGCCGTGTAGTTATTCTTGGTTGGACAAAGCAAATAAAAAATAAAAGCGGGCTGGAATCAGAGTCCACGGCCTATATGACGCTTAATAAGTTCATTGTGTTGGATGGAATCTCTTCCAAAACTAAAATTAAGAACGAGAAGAACAAGAATACGGAGTTAGTTACTCCAAAGCACAAAAGCTTAAATGTCACCAGTCGATGCACTTTTTTGCTATAAGAAATGATGCTTCCGTAACACAGTCTTGAGACTTTATCAAATACATTATTAAAGAAAGGATACAGCTTTGTAAAAGAATATTAGAGTTTATTATCCTGCTAACTATATTGCTTGTTAACGTTTTTAATATTATAGATACCTACGTATGATCAGTTGTTACTAAAAGCTTCAGAGGTAATGACCGAGTATTCTGGCATGATGGAGTTTAACATACTTCAATTCTACATCTACACCATCAGCTTAAGAAGAATTAGCGATATGATACAAAAACACCATGTAGCGAAATCTTCAGAGTTCTTTACCTCACTTCTAAAACTTAACTATTCTGGTAATATATATACATTGATTTTTTGTTTAAATTGGAAATGTATTACGTTTAGATACATTTTTTAAGGTATCATGAATTAAAAAAAACTGTATTAATGTATTGCATAGTTTTCAGGTTGTGCTTGAAAGAAATCTCATTTAACCTATTTTGTAACACATGGATGCAAACCAGAAATTAAGTTCATGCTACTTGATGAGATACAGCTCAATAAAAGTGTTTAGAATTCCGCATTACATTATCTATTTCATATGAAAGTACCGCCCTATGTTCAATACATATGCAATATTCAATTCAATACGTATTCAATGTTCAATACGTATTCAAAAGAAACTGTGGCTGCACTCTTCAAAACTAACCGCATCGTCGACTTAATGAATTTTAAAAAAAACGAGTGACATCACATACAAGGTTTTGTTTATGCATCCATATAAGTTAGCTTGCCGGCTTATTACATCGTACTTTTGCTATTTTATATATAAAAGGAAATAAAAAAAAACACTTTTAAGCATAGGGAAATCTTTGTTTTTTGGTATTATGCTCTTATTATTACTACTTTTTACCTACTCTAAACAGTGAATTTTGTGTAATTTTTCAATGGGATATATGTAAATAAATCCACATTAATCAAGACATCATTTATAAACACATTTCTAAGATAACACAAAATTAAAACAATAGTAAACTTCGTATTTACTCGACATAGGCATACGATAAACATCATGTGTAATTCAAGTATGATACCATACAACGTTCAATAACACGAATGATTTATTTTTATTACAGAACTGACTTTGTCTTTTATAATACAACACAAACTTCTAAACACAACAGCTGAAAATTTTGTTCCAGTAGTAATCCGGGAAGTATTTAGTCTCGTATTTCGAGGATGTCAGTTCAGCCTAGAATTTGCTAGGGTAAGTTATAAAATGTTATGCTCGTTAGATTAAAAACAATAGAATTATAAATAAAACTGATAAGTTATTGTAAAAACGGTTTAAATTACAATCACTTATGTTAATTGTGGCTTTTTATTTTCATGTGTACAACAAAAACAATAAAATTAACCATTTATCTACTGACGGTACATATAAGTACTACTTTAATTAAGCGCCTTTATTATTTTTAATTTTAGACGAATTTTTAAAATTATTGATGTAATTAATAGTATTATTTCCCCTGAGTCGAGGGTAGTTGGAGGGATCGATGTTTTTTAGCGCAATTTCCATTCTGGAGAATTGCGTTTATTAACCGTCATTTCTGGATGTATGAATGTATGAATGTATGAATGTATGGATGTGTGTTCGCAGCTTTAAGTCGTATCTCCTCCTCAACGAAGCAATATCGAGGACTAGTTCCAAAAGCAATTATGTTAAGCAAGTTACGAGGATAATAGTGGGCCAAAAAAAATTCGGAATTCCTTTCTGGATTTCCCGGAAAAGCCAAAAAACTCGAAAAAATGCCGTTTTTGCCCCATATCTCGGCAACCAGACCACTTAGCGACTTGAAACATTTACCAATCGATTCCTGTCATAATTTAGAACAATATTGCCGAAGAAAGTTTTCAAAAATATCCTTTCGTTCGGTCAAAAAAAAATGTTTTGAATTAATTAAAATTTGGACCGAATTAGTAGGCATGTTTATCCAACCACACCAACGCGTCATCACGTTCAATGACTGCGCCATCACGTTCAGTAGCTAGGCGCACAATTGTTTTATAGTCATGTAACTCTATTGTAAATAAAACATGTAAATTACTGGAAAAAAAATTCATAAAAAACGTTTTAATAACTAACCAATGGTTTTACTAACCCCGCTCTTGATTTACGCTACGACAGAGCTATTTTTAGATAACATAAGGAAATTGCGCTTAAATTGTCACTAGACTTTTTAATTACCTTGTTTTTAAATTTCTGGTTGGCGCCATTCTTAATGTCTTGCTGTATCGGTAGTTTACAATTGTTCTGTACAGTTCTCACACACGTTCATAATTTCGGTTTGTTTTACCTTATTCTTCAAGTTTTCGACCCCAATTTTTTTTTATTGGCAAACGCCATTCACTTCTAGTTATACAATTTTAATCAAAGATCGATGTTTACAAGTGGACTTATAAGTACTAACAACATAGAAGAATAAATCGATTACAGTAAGATTAGAATAGAGTGTAATGCATAATTAGAAAAAAATAAGCACGTGATAAAAAATATATAAATTATAACCCCATTTGGATCACTGTTTTTAGACCCGAACTACAGCCAAGCTTTATGGGATATTTATTATTTTTCTGCCAACACAAAAAAATAATATCTTTTGGTGATATGTGCTTTTATCAGTGCATTACATAATACAAATATTCATTTCTCGGTTAAACGTACCTTAATGACAATTGATATGTTGTTGGGATATATACCTATCAGAAAAAACCAAAAGAAAAAACCATTAATGTTAAGGTCGGAATGACAACAATAAACTAGTACCATTGTCGAGCGTTGGGATTTTCCGCTGTGTATCATGTATGTTGGAAGGTTACAGACGTCACATTTAATATAGTTAAAAATGGAAATCTTTAAAAACATAGATTGTATCTAGATATTTTGACATTGTTAAATTTTTTAAATAAAATAACTGAATTGAATTGTGCCAAGAATTGTACTAGGAATAAAAGCAATAAACACGCATTGATGCAATTGCTAAATTATTACAATTACACACCCGTTAAAAAGCAATATATGGTGATTACCAACTCAAGCAATCTATTTAATTTAAAATTATATTTGTTTTGTAACATTTGGAATAATAAACTAGATATTAATTTATCATAATCTGCTATTAATACATATTTTACTTCGCATACTGCTAATTAGATTTTTAATGTGTGTACATAATGCTGCATATTCGTCGAATTTTAAATTTTCTTCTTTTCATATTGCTAAATTATATATAGAATTAGAACATAATTAAAATATATGTATTAGCTAATTTTTATATCTCTATTAGAATATTGTCAAAGACGGTTATTTAACAGCGTTGTTACACAACGAAATGACGTCAGAAGAATGTGAGGTATGAAAATACAATAGTCAAAATATTTTAAAATTTAGTTTTACTCCCATAAAAAATAAGAAAACAAATCAAATAACACCCATCTTCTATATCCCTAACACATATATTAGCATCTCTTGATACATCGTCAGTATCCCTAAAACGTCTATTAATATGTTTTGATCCATCTTCTGTATCCTTAACACATGTTAGTATGTTTTGTTTTTATTGAGTTGTCTAAAGCTTTGTTGTTAAATTTGGCTGATCTGATGAATGAATTTTAAGTAGTAGGCGCTGATTAATGCTTATCAACTTAAGCTTATCATCAGGAATTATTTTTGTAATTATAGGATCTAGAATATAGGTGGCTCTTTCTTTTAAAAACTGCTACTATTCAGTGTATCTACCAGAGGCCAGAATTAAAAGGAAAAATACTGCAAGTAAGTAAATAGAACAAAACGAATTCAAATATATTAATAATAATTATTATACTAGTATTACTGTCAAATAATATAGTTTATGTGAATTGATTACGTTTTCTTTTATCTTCATAATTATTTTAAGATTTTTTAAAAAATATGTAATATTTCATGTTCTGAGCATTCTTATATTGTATTCTATAAAGCACAATTTATTATCAACCATTACTAGCTTCACAATATATAAATCAATAACTACATTTTCTGTAACATACGTATGTACATTGAAGGAAATGAAAGATCTATCTTTTAAAGATCTTTCTGTGTCCTACCTTTCAAAAATAACAAGTTGGGCACTTGAAGATGAAACTATCGAAAATGATAATGCAGGTAAGTGGTGTTGAAAATACAACTAATTTAACAGTTTAAGCATTTCGACAATAGACAGTTGAATTAGAGCTGGCTTGAAAAAATCTTAATTAGTAAAATGGTGGTATATTGTGTGTTTCAAGTGCTGATTTAGCGTGGCACCATCCACAATTAAATAACTTTTAAAAAGTATGATCGTGTTCCTAATCCAACTACCGCACTAATCAGAAAAAAGCATTTTTAACATTTGTTTAGTTAAGATTTTGTAAAATTAATGTTTCAATCATTTATTTTTAATAAATAGAAAATATAATTATTTTAACTGTTCAACATGTATGTTCCTTAGCACATTTCATTGAGACAATGTTGCAAACAGAGGTTTCAAATATAAGTTAAAAAAATTATTAAACAGACACACACATATACATATACATATATATATATATATATATATATATATATATATATATATATATATATATATATATATATATATATATATATATATATATATATATATATATATATATAGTTTAAATGCTTCTGAAAATACAGGATTTCCTGAAATTCTAAATGGGCACAAAGCACGCCCAAGGGTAAGCTAGCAAAGATATTTCATGAATACATTTTTCCTTAATTTATACAAAAAAATTATATAAACACCTAAACACATTTGTCGATACCGTTAAATGCCACTAATAAATGCATTGTTTAAACGCAACTTCTTTTTTCTTCAATAGATTAGACAAATAGTTGAGTTATTCAAAAAGCAAATCGAGCAAAAACTTTTTGTAAATTTTGAACACTTAGCTGAGTTTTGGGAAATTATTTCTGACTCTCCTGAGGCAAGCCAAATTATTGCAACAGATGAGAAAATAACTGACAATTTGGACATAATTAATAGTACAGAAGACTCACAAGTTTCTGAAAGTATAAATTTATTAAACTGGAGATGTGGGAGGACAGCTGGAGTTTTGCCTAAAAAAGCAGGTTTGTTGTATAATAGATTTCATTTATCTCCATCTCTTTCTGAGTATATATAACATTCAGTTACATTCCTCCGACAGGTACCGTCCATTCTGAATATTTCCCGAAACGATTTAAAATAGAATCAGACACGTTAGGTGAAGGAGCATTTGGCAGTGTACATCTAGTGATAGATACTAATCAACCACAGAAGAAATTATTTGTTGCCAAGAGACTGAGTTTCAACAGTGCTAATTATTTGGTAATTGTCTGGTATTAGTAATGACTTAAACATAAATGTGTATACATATTTATTTATATTTATATTTATACATTTACACAAACAAACACACAAATATATATATATATATATATATATATATATATATATATATATATATATATATATATATATATATATATATATATATTCTCTTAAAATAGAACTAAACATAATTTACCTGAAGTTTTGTACAGTTTTGTGTCGTTCTGTTATGAGAAGTGAATTACCCATCATCCAACAAGTTACCAAACGTCATGAAGCATATACCTGTTTTAACTATATGGTTTTCTTGTTACCTCGAAACATTTTTTACAGTTATTTAAGCATGGATTACTGAATGTAGCCTACATTTTCTTTTAAATACGTTTTTTTTAAATTCAAAATTAGTATTTCTACATTTTAAGCAAATATGTAATGCACTTCTTTTATTTTTACAAGCTTTTCTACATTCTACATAGTCGTTTAACGAGGCTTTGTTTGTTGTATTTTTAAATAATTTTTAACTCTAATGTTCCTATTTTTTTAATTTAAAAAGATTAATGTTATTGTAAAAGTAACTTTTCACGTTAGCATCCAACGAAATATATATTACATTTAAAAGCTATGCTTCATTTAATTACTCCCGACCTCATCGTTCTCCAAAAACCCACCCTCATTACATTTACAGCTTTCTCTATCATGCAGCTTTTCATTGCGAGTTTTATTACAAATGTGTTTCATTGCAGAGTCCAATGATGTGTCACTTTTTTCTATTTATTTATTTTTAACCTTTTAAGATACACCTACAAGAACTTTTTGTCATAATGTGCGCTTCTTTCTTTTGTGACAATACTAAAACAATATGTATCTTTTATGTATCTTTTGTTGTAGTTTTTTTTTACAATGATTAGTATTCATATTGTAATTAATAATGGTCATCAAAATAAAAATATTTTGCAGGAAAAGGGTAAACAAGAAGCATTGATACTGATGAAGTTAAAGCACAAACGCATTGTCCAGTTCCACGGATATCATCAGGATAAAAATGATTTTTTTATTTTCTTGGAATATTTGCACATGGTAATTACAATACTTCATATATGTGTTTAAGTATTAGAAAAAAATGAAATCATACTTTTATTGTAAAGTGTCCTAACTTTTTTTAGGGAACACTGTCGTCTTTTGTGAGTGCATCAGAAAATAAAAGGTTGGATGAGAAGAAGACGCGACACTTTACAATTCAAATTCTTGAAGGTGTTGATTATTTACACCAAAGTAATATACTACATATGGATATTAAAGGTGAATTTTTATCACACCCATTTTTTGTATTAAGTTTTTGGAATTTTTTTTATACTAAATGAATAATGTTTAACTATTTAATTTTCCTTAGGCAGTAATGTTTTAATGAAGGATGACCTAAACATTAAGTTAACTGATTTTGGCATATCACAATTCATCGATGAAATTGGCGTAAGGACAGAGCAAGGAACAGTTCGATATATGGCGCCAGAAGTAGTTTATACTGAAGGGAACATTATTCGTAATTACTCAAGCAGGGCTGATATATGGTAACATATTTTATAGAATAAATTACTACAAATAAATAATCCGTTTTTTTTCTTTTTCATAATGTTTCTTGCCAAAAAATCTTTATCCTTGGAAAGTTAATTATTTTTTTAAATATACATATGTAATGTTAAAAAAATACTATAGTAATCAAACGTAAAACTTTCGATCAATGTTAACGCAATGTAATTAGAAGATGAGATTTGAGTATTTTTGTAGAAATTTAGAAGGTTTGGTGTCTATTTTTTCGTGTTTGGATGACGGTCCACCACTCATTGTTACACCAGACACGTGTTAATGAATATGTTGTGCATTATAAATATTGCCTTTTTGACATTTAGTTATTATTTTCTTTCCTGCCATTGAATACATGTTGCTTTATTAATAGTTACATATGAATAACTCAAACGACATCGGAAGTTGTGTTGTTAAGATACAAGCCAACAATGTATCTAGCAACACACACACACACACACAAACATATTCTATTTTAATATTTCCAATTTCGCACTCTGTTCCCCGTTGTCCTTGAACGTTTTTCATCACTGGCCCAAAAGATGCAATTAAAGACTTAGTTCTCCCCACTAGTACTTATCTGATGTGCTTTACAATTGACACCTAGCTTAAGAAACTGTGACAAAGCATACGGTATAAACTTTCATGTAATAAGATATTAGATCGTTTCTAAAATAAAATGTAATTAAACATGTAAATATGAAGTATATATCCTTTTAGAAGATTTCAGTGAGTGCGGTCAATTTATGAGAATCCATTTTTTAGAAATGCGAGTTAGTGATGTTAAAAGTAAAAACGAAACTGTATTATAACAAGCATTTATTTATATGTAAAATTATATGAGAGTTCATGACAATTTAAAAAATATAAATATAAATGAAACTGCATTCCACTATTTTAGCGCAAAAATAAAATATGTTTAATATAAATGTTTATTTGTTTCTACAGGAGTGTTGGCTGCACTGTTATAGAGATGTTGACAGGAAAACCACCCAACTCTTCAGTCCCTACACCACTGGCTATTTTAAGAATCGCCAACAGTGAGCCGTTACATTACCAACTGCCTACATCATCATCAGTTTACTTACATGAATTTTTAAACAAGGTTTTAAACAGGGAAGCTAAACAAAGACCATCAGCCGATTGGCTGCTAAAGCACGATCAATTTATTGTTGTTGCAGAATTATGTGAAGAAAAGCAGGGTTCAAAACGTAAGAAAAGAAAAATACAATAGTCTCAGAGTACGTTAAATAAATCCGGGACTTTTGAGTTGTAAAAATGCAGCTCACATCACGATGACTTTATATGTCATTGAAAATATCACCGGCTTTATCCATAAAACAAAGTATTGTTATGGCACAATTGGTATTTTCCTTATTATTTTGATACCCATCATCTGTTTTATTTTAGACGAGTTGTATAGGTATTCAATAACTTATATGTTAGTTTTAACCAGTTGTATTTTCTTGTATTCATCTTCTAATACATGAAAAAAAAATATTACTTGATCAATACAACATATTTCTACAAGTGAACATTGATAATTAACTAGATGTGTGTTCCTATTTTAAATATTTCAATTCATCGATTTAAACTGTATTCTTGTTAAGGAATGTGCGAAAAATGTTGAATGGAGTTGAACTTACCCTAGTACTGATCTATTAAGTATATATTTTTAAAAAAGTGTTATGATGTACTTCTTGGCTCACATATCAGCACCTAGGCATGTGCCAGGCTCTTTTTGTCACAAGGTCTGTCAACATTAGCGCATGTTTATCGCCCTTGTCTGTCAGCTGATCTAGAACATTTTTCAAAGGCATCTTTGGAAATGCATATTTTTAGATGGTTTGAGTTAAAAACACTTTGAAACTGTGGGTTTTCAAAACAGTTTCAATTGAAGACCATTAAAAAATGAAATGATTATCTTTAATTTCGATGTTGAAACTGCGGCGGAACGGCAGTCGTGCATAATAAAATATTAGATAATCGTAGGATTGGACCGTACAATTCTTGTTTAAATGTACATATATTTGCTATAAACGTTGCAAAACTAACAATTTAGCTAGATTTTTTACTTAATCAGAAGCAAATTATGAACAGTAAAAGAAACTTATTCAAAAGCGTAAACGTAACCGGATCCGAAAATTTAACCATAGCCCTAATTTTAACTGAATCGGAATTATAACGGAGATTTGATATTTTAATATGAATAGGAAATCTAGCATGAAACTTTAACCGGAACCTTATATTATTCCGGAACCAGAATAGAACGGTTAACCGAAACAGTAAACGACGTAAGAATTATTCTCACTTAGACCTTAACCATAATTTTAACACAGAAGCTTAGCACATAATTTAATTCGCTGGTATTTTTACATGCTTTTATTTTGTTCGCCACGTCTGTTTGTTTTTTACAGGTTTATGGCAAACGTTGTAACTCAGTTTTGGTACACTTCCAATGCAGCCATTGCGTTCAAATTTTCCAGAAACGTTCCACTTTGATGGCAGTACAAGTCTATCTATTATTTATTTAATTAGATGATTAATTAATCATACTCAATTAATTACACTGTTTCGAAAATAAGAGAAGATAGAAAACATTGAATCATTCGATAGATTACTATATTACTAGATTCGAACATAAAAGGAGATAACTAGCTAGACGCGATCACCCTAACAGTCTGGTGAGTTTTGGTTCACGAGAAGGTTTACAATCGTAGAGATCAAAGAGCCGGTCGATCTAATAAAGGCTATTAGGGGCAGATAATATAGTTTTTCAATATCTACTTGATCTGGTTGCTGTCGTCTGTAAACTGTTGGCATGGATGGCTGATTTCGTAGGGGGGGGGGGTCGTTGGGGGTTAGAAAGGATAATCATCTTTCACGAGCTACTAATAGTTTTTTAAAACTAATATTTTAGCTGCTGCATTTTGATTATGAATTTCTAAAAACTAGAAAATAAAACAAATATAAAAAAGACATTTCTAATAGCAAGCTATTTGGTTTCTTTCATACAAGATTTTGTTTCTAAAATGTGTAAAATATCTCATAAGTAACCAAAGCTTTTGTGAAAGAAAGCAAATGTAGTTTCATTTTGTTATTATCATTACATTTTGAAGCTTGTTATTAAAAATGTAATTTTTTTATTTATTTTATTTAATAATTACATACACTTAAAATATTAGATACATTGAATAGACGTTAACTTTGTGTTTCTGTAATCAATGACCTCATTATTATTGTGTCTCCTATTCAACATTTTTTTAAATCAATAATTAATTTCTATTTAGTTATTTCATATCACTTCATTTTGCCCCGAAACGTTTTTTTCTTATTTTTTTAGAAATATTGATGATCATATAAAAATTGATTATTCTCCTACTAATCCTAATAAAGTCCGCTGGCTAGTTTTTGTAACTAAAAACACTGTAGATATTGTTTTTCTAGTTTTTTTAAATTCCGAAAGGTGAAACTTTATTCAAATTATTGCTACATGAAATTGATTTTCACCATACTATTTTTTTTTTCCTTTTTTCCTAAAGCCTACCCAGTTAGAATATTGTTTTGTGGTTTACAAATAGTAACTGTTTTAGTTGAACAGGAACACGTCTCAATGTAATTATGTAGCTCACAAGCTTTTGCGAACGTACAAGATTTCATCGATATCTACTGCAAAACGGCGGATGTCTTGGCCTTTATTGGAACTGACGCAGCAGCATAAGTCTTTATCTTGGCTTGAATCTAATGTCAGGTAATTTTCTATGACGGAGGAAATCGCTGAATTGATTCTCGTGGAGTACATACCCATGTCGATAGAACAAAATCAGCTCCAAGAAAGATTTTAAGAAAGATATTGGGAAAAGATAGTTATGTATATTCGTGAAATTAAAATAATAAATGTATCAAAGGATTTGTCTACCGCGGTTTTTTGGTCTAAGATACAGAAACATATTTAGATGGGAAACAAAAAGTACAACTTGCCTGAGGAAACATCACTTATCTAAAACGGCTCGAGTGAGTTTGTCGAAACTCACTTTCCTTGTTAACTAGATGTAAATATCAAATCGTGTTATTTTTGTTTTGACTTCGGATGAAGTTATCCCCTAGAGAAAGGAAACAGTTCTAAATTTGAAATCAATAGCAAATTAGAACCGGGTTGTTTTAGCTGGCTAAAATTGTTAGTATTTTTTGACTACACGATTTATACAATGTTTATATCGATTAGCAATTTTGTAAAATTTTCCAGACATTGATGTTTAAATCAAGGTGGAAATTTAGACCAAAGCGAAATATAACTGAATAAATAGCTGGCTTAATTTGTTAGTTTTTCTGGTTCAGAAGACCTTACAGGTAATTTTGTATCATATATATATATATATATATATATATATATATATATATATATATATATATAAGGTATATATTTTCAATGTATTTTCTGTTTCCAAGCAATCAAACCTTGAAAATGGCAGTTGTGAATTAGCCTGCACTTCCTTAATGTAACTTTTTGACTTAACGCAAATATTGTTAGTCATAGCCTGTGTTTTGTTAACTTAATAATTAACGAATGACTAAAAAGTGGAATTTTTTTTCATATTTAAAAAAAATTAAATAGGCTTTTATTGTATTAAAAAATCACAAATACCCTAAGAAGTAAAAAAAAAAAAATTAGGTTTAAGCTTACTAAATCTATTTGCGATACTGATATAACTAGAAATACAAGGCAGTGCGCTAATTTATTGAGAAACTATTACATTTCATAGTGAGTTCATTGGGGGTATGGTGATTAGTAAAAAAATTGATGTGAGTTAGCTAGCAAACAATTGACATTAATGTAGTTGGTAAAGAACTGATGTGTGGTGGTTGAAAATTATTGGGGAGGGATTGCTAGTAACAATTTACGGTAAGCTGACTAGGAATGAATCATGCTGGGGTTCTCAATGTAGTGGTCGGTTAGCTAGTGATTAATAGGGCTGGAAATGGTGACAGTGTAATGAAGAATTAGTGTGGGTGGAAGGTTGAGTATCTAGGGATAAACTGGATTGGGATGGCTAGTGAAGAATTGGGGTAAAGTGGGTAGTGAGTAATTTTGGTGTATGGATAGTGTAGAGTTAAAATGTAGCTATTTGACAGATGAAAAAGTATAAACCAGTTATTTTCTTGCGCGAATATTACTTACCACGGTTTGTCTATTAATTAATTAAACACACATGCATTTAAGGTTCGTATTTGTCGAAATTTTCTGCACTAGCTGGACCACATACAATGTATTCTTTTGTTTTTAAAAGAATCTTTAAATTTTTTCTTGGTTAAAACAAATGTGACTAGGAATAGGTATTAAAATCCATTAATACGCGAAAAAAATATCACTTTATTGAAAAACTACATTTACATAAATAATCTGAAGCATATACGTTAATATTATGTTTTCTATAGTTCTACTAAAGAACACTGCGTTTAAATTTATTAAAACATTTTTAAAAATATTTAGACACTTTTTTGCATAGGTAAACAATTGTAAGTCGAAGACAGCTGCATCAGAGCAGCAACAAAGACGCCAGCCGTATTAAATATAACTGACTTTGAACATTAGTCAACATGGATAACTGGATACTAAACGTAACGCAATCATCGGATGATGCAACATCTGATTCGTCTTCATCGGAACAAATCGACGCTACAATAAAGCTGATGAAGCAGATCTATGTCGCTCTGTTTTTTATTGTAAACCCCACAATAGGTGTCGTAGGTCTGATATCCAACACATTGGGGTTGGTTGTCTTAGTAAAGGACGGCCTCCATAAATCGTCGGCAATTTTCATGGTGTCTTTAACGATAGCGGACTCTCTGTGCCTGGTGGGTGCAGTTCAACCAGCCAACTTACTCGAATATACCATAGCAAATGATTTCACGTCCGCTTTTGTCGGTTGGGCTTATCCCTTTAATATAGCTTTTTTCTTCTTTATTCTATGGCAAACAATGACTTTTTGTGCACATCTCGGGATGTCAATTTCATTGACACTACCGCCTGTGATATCTATTGAGCGATTTGTTGCCGTGTACTTTCCGCTTAAATTTAAACAAATGATGACAAAGAAAACAGCTAAAGTAGTTGTCCTCACCGTATACGTGGTTTGGCTACCATGGGTAGTTTTCTACAGTACATGCGTTACTTTTGACTACACCCAATACACACAATCTGGCATGGGAACAGAAATACGTACGTCATATTGTCGTATTCATTGGGAAGAGATTTCGATTTTTAATTATTACATTTTCAATTATCTGACCAGTGTTTGCCCATTGATTATCG